TGGGCTCTGTACTTGGTGTCTCTGCACATCCTACTCAGTCTCAATGTTCTTCTTTCTTTCCTTCCAGTTGTAGAGCTTCCACTGGGCCAGCTTTCCCATGGTTCCGTATGATAGCTGTTTGTCCTATAGTTGGTAGTTTCGATGTTGTTGTGGGAGGCAGCACGCACAGGTCTCTTCCTTACGCCGCCATCTTGGTTCTCCTGGGTCTGCTTCTTGAGTGTGTCTCCCATGGGTGCGAGCAGTTGAAGTCTGCAATTTGTTGGGTTAGGCTGCAAAAGCGCAGGTGGGTCTTTTTGTGCACCTGGCACAGCTTGGATGGGGATGTAAATTGATTAGGGCTGGGTCTCAGGGAGTCGCCATGGCGGAGCAAATAGCACTGGCTGCGTCTCCGCGGCCCCTCACCTCTCCGGGACACCGGGGCTTCGAGTCCCCCAGTGCCGGTGAGCAGCTGTGCAACAGAGCCTCCCTCGCTTTCTGATGGCTGCAAGGCCGTGCCACCTCTCCCCGTAGGGTCTGGTGCCTCTTGATCCCGCCCGAACCAGTCAGTGAATTTGAGAGTTTGTAACAGCGCAGGCGTTTCCTCTTGTGCCTCTGGCACAGCTTGGATGGGAATGTAAATTGAGTAGGGCGAGGTCTCAGGGAGTCGCCGGGGCGGAGTCTTTGCGGCCCCTCGCCTCTCCGGGACACCGGGGCTTCGAGTCCCCCAGTGCCGGTGAGCAGCTGTGCAACAGAGCCTCCCTCGCTTTCTGATGGCTGCAAGGCCGTGCCACCTCTCCCCGTAGGGTCTGGTGCCTCTTGATCCCGCCCGAACCAGTCAGTGAATTTGAGAGTTTGTAACAGCGCAGGCGTTTCCTCTTGTGCCTCTGGCACAGCTTGGATGGGAATGTAAATTGAGTAGGGCGAGGTCTCAGGGAGTCGCCGGGGCGGAGTCTTTGCGGCCCCTCGCCTCTCCGGGACACCGGGACTTTGTGTCCCCCAGTGCCAGCTAGCAGCTGCACGCCAGAGCCTCCCTCGCTTTCTGACCTCTGCAAGGCCCAAGGCCGTGCTGTCTCTCCCCGTGGGGCCTGGGGCCTCAGAGACCCGCCCGAACCAGCTCAGTGGATTTGAGAGTTTGTTTGTAACAGGGCGTTTCCTCTTGTGCCTCTGGCACAGCTTGGATGGGAATGTAAATTGAGTAGGGCGAGGTCTCAGGGAGTCGCCGGGGCGGAGTCTTTGCGGCCCCTCGCCTCTCCGGGACACCGGGACTTTGTGTCCCCCAGTGCCAGCTAGCAGCTGCACGCCAGAGCCTCCCTCGCTTTCTGACCTCTGCAAGGCCCAAGGCCGTGCTGTCTCTCCCCGTGGGGCCTGGGGCCTCAGAGACCCGCCCGAACCAGCTCAGTGGATTTGAGAGTTTGTAAAAGCACAGGCATTTCCTCTTGTGCCTCTGGCTCAGCCTGGATGGGGATGTAAATTGAGTAGGGTGGGGTCTCAGAGAATTGCCAGCGAGGAGCAGATAGCATTGGCGGTGTCTCTGCGGCCCCTCGCCTCTCCTGGACACCAGGACTTCTCGGCCCCAGTGCCGGCGAGCAGCCGTGTGTCAGAGCTTCCCTCGCTTTCCGACCGCTGCAAGGCCATGCCGCCTCTCCCCGTGGGATCTGGGGCCTCAGAGACCCGACCCGAGCAAGCCCAGAGGATTCGAGGGTTCGTAACCGCTTCTGATTGGAAAAAAAACTGCGCATCCAGTTGCAGCCCACCTGGTGTGTGACTGCGTACCTCTGTTTTTGGCGCCTCCGTAGCTCCCACTCAGTCTCACTGTGCTTCTTTCTTTTCTTCCAGTTGTAGATCTCCCACTGGGCCAATTTCCCCATGGTTCTGAGTGGTGGTTGTTTGCCTCATAGTTGGTAGTTTCAATGATGTTGTGAGAGGGCAGCAGGCACAGATCTACTCCCTACGCCGCCATCTTGGTTCTCCTATAGGAAGTTTTAATGGCTGAAGCCAATTGCCAGTCTAACTATTGTAACTCTCTTGTTTGCTCATTCCCTCCCCTTGATTCCTCAGCAAACCCTATGTAGCTATGTAGAATTGGTTTTTCATGTGTTCTTTTTTCAAGCCATGGCTTATTAACGCTAATAAACCTTTTTTTACTTAGTCTTTTAAAAGCCAGAAACCTATCACTCACAACTCAAAGGTATTGGCTTTTAAGATTTTGCTTGTTTTATGAGTTTCAAAAACCTAAATATGAAACTCATAAGCCACGATACTGAACCTTGTTCTCTGACATCTGCTGTATTTCTGCTCCTGTGGCTGTAAATGTCTCACTGAACTGGTTTGGGGAATGTAGGTGGAGAGGACAAGGAAGTCATGTTGGGTGAGGAGCCTTGATTAGCAGTTCCAAAAGGCATTCCAGTGTATCTCTAATACAGTCTTCACAGATAAATAATGAGCTGCATATACTTTGAGAAATGGGAAGCCCAGGGCAATTCATGTCATTTTATGTTAATAAAATACAACTGTAAGAAGAGCTTTTACTGAGTATATAATCAGGGAAGTGCAGCCTCACCACCTTGGTCTTCCAGGCTCCCTTCCTGATATCTGCTGTAGGAAAGCCATATTATAATTTCCGAATTAACCAAACCTTGCAATATTATTTTAGGAAAGAAAGAGAGATGTACTTTATATATGAAGAACTTTAATTTTGTGCAAGTTCTATGCTTCATTCATGCATAAGATGAAGTTGAAAGATGAAGTTAAATTTATACTGTTGCTTATAAAAATTTTATTAACACATATATAATTTATTTATATTCATCTCATTTTAATATATGTAACTTAGACTTTATACAAATCTGATTGCAGTGAACTATTCACAAAGAAATGATAGGTTGGGAATATCTAAAAACTATTGTTATTGTTAGGAAACATAATACCTTTAAAATTACTCCTAATGTGGGATTTGTAGGTATTCTTGTGATCCCATTAGAAATGTGAATGTTCCCTACCCAATTTAGAGTATGATAGAAAATCTTTCCTATTTTCCTTCTTTGTGCTACTCAGATTTCCATGTTTGGCAGAACAAGCTACAAAAGAAAATATATGAAGTGTCACACATATATTAAAGTAAAAGTCTGAATATTTTTTAGTGGCCAGCCAATTCTTAAATTATATTTAGCAGTTTTTTTGCAATAACATACTTTAAATTAAAAATATTTATTAATCTCACAGTCAATATGGTACCTTTCAGTTGTCAGTAATAATCCAGTACAGTAAGCAAGAAACAGGATACACGGAGAAAGGTACCTTCCTCTTCCTGGAGATTCCATTTAATTATACTTATTAGAGTCCAAGAAATATTCTAATCAGCTCTATCTCAGCAGAAAGTTTTTATTTTCATACCCAAATCTATCTTGTTCACTGTCCAAGCTAATATGACAGCAAGTAATAAGAAGGACCCACTCTCTTTTAGATATAATTTAAAGGGGAAATCTGTTTCTGTGGGCTCCCCCCAAACCAAGATCAAGCAGTATTTCCCTCTCTACTTTACTGTTTTCATCACCTTTCCTCTGTCAAGTAGAAGCAAGTAGGCATGAGGGGACAGAATGACCTTCAAGCAGTCTGTTGGGGACACAAGCTGCTCTGGCTAATTTCCACCTCAACATGTGCAGTGGCAGCCCTAGATATTCTAACCTAAGGGACACAGTGTGCAAGATCTAAAACATAATACATTGATCCACAACGTCCTTCTGTTTAAAAAGTATGAGTCCTTTATTTCTGGTGTTCACATACTTAGAATTACTGCATGTAAATGTTACCGAACTGAATGAGAGTTCATCTGCAGGTTCACAGACTGAAAGAAATGTACAAGCAGGAGTTTTTAGTGGATGAAAGAATTAATTTATTGGATTGATGCCAATGCGGAGAATGGATGAGCTTGCGTTCCAAAATACCCAACTCCCCAATGGTTTACAGACAAGAAGCAAAATCATGCCATCACGAATAAGGGGTTTGGGATTATTGGTGAAACTGATTGGTCAACAGTGAATTAAGTAAGGTAAATCATGATGTCAGGTCTTGAGGTGAGCTTCGTGGTCCCTCAGTTTGGTTTCATGGGAATCGTTTCACTTTAGGGTTTAGGAGCTGAAACACAATTTAGGGCATGATGTTATCTTCAGCTTAAGGAAAGCCGTACCTTGTGACCACTAGTCAGTAGGGCTTGGCTGTTGTTTCTTGCTGCGTCAGGAAGTTAATAAAATGTAAGGGAAAGGGCCAAGGCTATGGAGCATGTTGTGAGGAAACTGAATTGAGTGCTAGGGCTAAAGTAGTACCACCCAAATTAAGTCAAAATCATACATTATATCAGGACCCTCGACTGTACATAGTTTAGATGTCAGAGTTTCTACAGAGTAATTATTTGAACATCACTGAAGTCAAGACACATGGCTAAAATAAATACTTTTTGCTACTTCATAAAAAAGAATGATAGTCTCTACTTTTTTACTTCCTAGTTCATAAGTCTGTCAGAGGAATATGTGCCTTTTTTGCTATTCACCTACATTGGTGCAAACAGCTTGGAAATTCTTATCATTGGGGCTGATGACATTGTGTTGGATACACATTAAGGGTATAGAAATTTTGGTTTTGTATTTTTTGCATAGAAGAGTAATAATTAAGATCAGTAGTCTGTGTCTCTTAAATTCTACCCAGATAAGGGCACATGGTTGGGAGGGGGTTCGAAATTTGTAAAATATGTCATAGTATACATTTAAAAAATATTTTTTCAAAGTACACTTAAAATAATATTTTCTTTTAATTTCAGACTTATAGATGTTGAAAAATAGTGTACCCTTTACCCAGATTCCTGAAATGTTACATTTTACCACATTAGTTTATTCTGTTTCTTGTTCTTTCTCTTGCTATATATCTAATATATAATATATATTAACATATATATATACTAGTACATATACACACACATAGGCACCACATATTTTTCCTGAACCATGTAAGAATAAGATGTAGACATAATGCACTTTTACTTCTAAATACTTTAGTGTGTATTCCTTATGAGAAGACATTCCCTTACACATAGCCACAGTACAATTTTCAAGATCAGAAAATTGGCATTGATCAGTGCTGTTATCTGAGCTACAGGTTATTTTCATGTTGGCCAGTTGTCCCACTGTATTCTTTTATATAAAAGAAAAAACTTATTTTTTTTCCAGTCCAGGATCTAATAATCCAGAAGTCTCCTTTAATCTAAAACAGTTCCTCTGTCAAACTTTGATTTTCATGACTTCGACATTTTTTAATAACGCAAGCCATTTATTTTGTAGAATTTCCCTCAGTTTGGGTTTGTCTTGTTTTTCCTCATAAGATTCAGTTTATGCATTTTGGGTCAGAGTACCACAGAAGTGATGTTATCATACCAGAAATCCATAGAGGCCTATGGCACTTCCCTCCAAAAACATTTTTTTAAAAATTACCAGTTTTTTGTTTTTGTTTTTACTTATTTAATAATTTTTTAAAATTCTTTATTGTTTAAAGTATTACATGAGTCTCCTTTTTCTCCCATTGACCTCTCCCCGGCCGTTCCCAGCCCCCAGCACATGCCCTCACCCTCCTACTGTTCTGTGTCCATGGGTTATGTTTATATGCATGCATACAAGTCCTTTGGTTGCTCTCTTACCTCCCTCTCCCCTGCCAGTTTTAATGTTACATGGTAAGCAGAGTCGGAGAGTCTTACATTTGTCAAGGTACTATACTCTGTTATATTCATTCTCCAGTTGCTTTCTCTTAAGAAAATGTGTGGCCTTTTTGCCAGTGTGTGTTTCTTGGCATCTAGAAGGGTTCAGGAATCTGGAGAAGGGGCTACGGTAAATTAATCAAGAGTCCAGAGACGAAACAAATTTGGAAGGCATTTTGGGGAGCCAGAAGAGACTTAACTAAAGAAACAAAGTCCTCCTGTCTCTCTGGACCCCTTGCTTTTTATTAACACAAATTGTCCTAAAGCAAGGTAGATATACATATCAAAGGCAGAGTTTAGTATACAGAATCCATTGTCAGATTGGAGGAACTGCCTTCGGCTGTTCAGGTGTTTGGCCAGCAGGAGGCAATAACATGTAGATTGAAATGCCCTCAGCTGCCTGGCAGCAAGCAATCATTTATGCATCCTTTTCAGGTTTAGGGAAATGCCCTTAGCCATTTCCAACAGGCAGTAATATATATTTTCCATCACTTGCTGAAGGCTCAAGGTCCACCAACCTTTTAATGAACTTCTTGCATTTATGACCTGCTGGAATTAGCTTCCGGCATCTTTTAGTTAGCTTTTACTAAGTGGAAATTGCTGAATAAAATCAGGATAGAGGCAGAAAACAAGAGCTGGTGTATTGAGCTTTAAGTGTAAGGTTTAGAGTATATATTTTATGTGAATGAGCATGGGCCATTGCAAGGATTGGGCTTTTAAACCCTTGGTCAAGAACAATAAATTATTTATTCTTGGAGTACTTCTGCCAAAACACTGAAATCAATATACTATTCTCCTTTTAGAAGTTTTACACCTTTCCAAGGCAAACATTCAAATGTATTGAGTAGGGAGGTAAGAGAAAACCCTGTTTTATCTGATAGAAGTAAAAGACATTTAAGTTTATTAGAACAATATTCAGTATTTATTGTACTGTTTAAAATATTAACCCTTTCTATATTAATGCTAGTTCATACTGCCTCTTTGAATGATCAAGAAACAGAACTTGCAACCTGCAGTATAGTTTATTTGGCTCCTATCAGCAATAAAAGTAGTTTTTAGTACTGACGTGACTTTGTCCAACCCTCCGTTTCCTTCACCCTTCAGTAGATTTATGGTAATCTGTTGCTCTACTAGTAATCTAGGCAGTGTTTATTGTGATTGAGGAAAGTTCAGAATCTAGCTTTGCCAGATGATAGTTTTGTGAAGTGGCTTAACATTTATGATAGTTTATCTGTAAATAAAAGGGAATGAGTCATTTTAATCACCAGACTGCAAATCTTAAAGTCATACAATAAAATAAGCAGGTTTTTTTTGTGTTATATTTTTACAGTGTTTGTTTAAATATGAGTATAGTGCCACTCTATATTCTCTATCAATTAGTTATATTTCTATTAAAATGACACAATTCTAGATTTTTACCTTTGGTATAAAATCTATATTACTGCTACATAATTTAAAGATGTAATTTGTAATTATTTATGCTGAAATCACCTATTTGAAATTATGCACCAGCTTTTCTAAGTTTTTAGGGATTTAGAAAAATTTCAAATGTTTCTTTACTTATATGTCTTTATTATAAGGTGTGGCATCCTAATATATAAAAAGCCAGGGGCCGTCACGACTGAAACAATCGGACAGACGACTGAAACAATCGGACAGACGACCGAACAGCAGGTTGCGTGGGGCAACAAGGCCGGCAGGGGGGTTAGTGAGGGACAACCAAACGACTGAATAGCAGGCTGCGTGGGGCAACCAAGGCTGGCAAAGGGGTTAGTGAGGGACGACCAAACGACTGAACGGCAGGCTGCGTGGGGCAACCAGGTGGGGGGAGGGCAGTAAGGGGTGACCAGGTCGGCACGGGGGGCAATTAGGGGCAACCAGGCCAGTGGAGGAGGCAGTTGGAGGTGACCAGGCTGGCAAGGGGGGCAGTAAGGAGCGACCAGGCTGGTGGGGGGGCAGTTAGGGGCAGTTAGGGCTCCCCAGGGGATTGGGCCTAAGCTGGCAGTCAGATATCCCTCTGGCAGCCTGGGAGCCCTCAGGGGATGTGTACCTGCTGGCTTAGGCTCCCTCCCTGGAGATCAGGCCTAAGCTGGCAGTCAGACATCCCTCTGGCAGCCTGGGAGCCCTTGGGGGATGTCCGACTAATGGCTTAGGCCCGTGGTCAGCAAACTGCGGCTTGCGAGCCACATGTGGCTTTTTGGCCCCTTGAGTGTGGCTCTACCTAAGCCTTAGGACAGTGGTGGCGAACCTTTTGAGCTCGGCGTGTCTGCATTTTGAAAAACCCTAATTAACTCTGGTGCCGTGTCACATATAGAAATTTTTTGATATTTGCAGCCATAGTAAAACAAAGACTTATATTTTTGATATTTATTTTATATATTTAAATGCCATTTAACAAAGAAAAATCAACCCAAAAAATGAGTTCGCGTGTCACCTCTGACACACGTGTCATAGGTTCGCCATCACTGCCTTAGGAGTACCCTAATTAAGTTAATAACAAAGAAATTTCAATCATTGTACTCTTGATATTTGGCTCTGTTGACTAATGGTTTTGCCGACCACTGGCTTAGGCCATCAGTCAGACGTCCTTAGCGCTGCCGTGGAGGCAGGAGAGGGTCCCGCCACCGCCGCTGCTCTGGCCAGCCATGAGCTGGCTTCTGGTTGAGTGGCGCTCCCCTCTTTTGCTTATCTGCTCCCTGGTAGTCAGTGTGCATCATAGTGACCGGTAGTTCCCGGTTGTTTGGCCGGTAGTGTCAATTTGCATATTACCCTTTTAATATATAGGATGTTCAACATTTAAAGATGACTTGTCCAAATTTACTTAGCTGTCTCGGACTAGAGTCTATGAGGCAGGCTTATTTTTGATACTCTAGTATGAGTTTGAAAGATGCCCTGGCTGGTTTGGCTCAGAGGCTAGAGCATCGGCCTGTGGACTGAAGGGTCCCAGGTTCGATTCCAGTCAAGGGCACATGCCCGGGTTGCGAGCTCGATCCCTAGCTGGGGGCGTGCAGGAGGCAGCTGATCAATGATTCTCTCTCATCATTGATGTTTCTATCTCTCCCTCTCTGAAATCAATAAAAATATATTTTTAAAAAAAGGACATACCATAATCACTTTGCCTTATTTCCAAATTTTACATAATTTTTTCTTAATTTCTCTATTTTATTGTAATGATTTCTAGTGATACTATTACTAATGAACTTGTAAGTAGGTTACATAGTTCACCATTGTTTCTCATAAAACATAATCGTCATTCCTCTTTTGCTTATAGGAACTCATTACACAATGACAAATGGAGGCAGCATTAACAGTTCTACACATTTACTGGATCTTTTGGATGAACCAATTCCAGGCGTTGGTACATATGATGATTTCCATACTATTGATTGGGTCCGGGAGAAATGTAAAGACAGAGAAAGGCATAGACGGGTAAGTATTTTCAGTTATTTACAAAAATATAGTCATAATTAGATCCTTTAGTAATATATTTCTACCAATGATCTCAGACTGTCAAAATATATGTTATACATTAAAGTAATTTTAAGCATTTTTTTTTTTAGTTTATTTATACCCCATATCTTTCCAGAAAGGATTTGAGGTAGCTTAAAAAAAAAAAAAGTGTGTAGTAAGACAAAATAGAAAGGAAAAGGAAAACAGGGTCCACGAGGGGGGAAGATTAAGCCAAGTTCAAGATTTGGAAGTCAGCATGATTTTGGGCTTTGATCAGCACAGCAGCTATGGCAAAACAGGAAACGTTACATAATTCTCATTATTCAAAAGTAATTACTTTCTGGGGACATAGTTTTATGCGGTATTGCTCTTTTATCTCTTTTCTCAGTTTTTAAATTCTGAAATGTTTCTCAAATTGATATTGAGTGTTGTAATGAATCGCTATTCAAAAAAACGGCTTTTATTAAAGAGTACAACTTATGGATCTTTCTTGTTATGGGTTGTGACTTACTGGTATAATGTAATCCAAAAATACATTTTTTTAAAAAAGAGATAGAAAGAAAGAAATCTCTTTGACAGCAAAATTTTAAATTCCAAAAAGCCCTTTGTAACTTTATGGTCTGCAATCTCTATATATATCAAAGTCTAAGTGTCCGTCCAACCATCCGACTGGTAGCTATGATGCACACTGACCACCAGAGGGCAGACGCTGTCATGATGCGCACTGGCCATTTACAAAGAAACGGCAGCGTAGACCTAGTGCCCACAAACACTTGCTTCCCCCAAATGGGACACACCCCACCACCACCCCAGAGCGACACCCCACCAAATTGCAGCCAACGCTGCCAAGACCCCATGGCGCAAAATGCGGCCCACAGCCCAGCCTGGAAACAGTGGCTGTGGGTGCCAGGTAATGACGTCATGTAGCAATGTCCAGCTTCCTCTCCCTAGCCACTAGCTTCCTTGGAGTTTCTTCAGCCCAGGAACCCAACTTGCTTTATAGCCAGGTGCAAACATTTTACAGTTTAACCAAATGTCTGTGAAGCATTTTCACATGCCTCATCTCATTTGATCCTCCCAGTGCTGGAGAAGGTAGATAGGAGACTCAGTAGAATCCTATTTTCTTTTCATTAGCTGGAAAACAGAGATTTAGAAAGTTTAGAAACTTGACCCGAATGAAAAGAAGTAAGAAATGGTGGAACTTGAAAATAATGACTTCATTTCTCACTGTGCAGAATATAGTTAAACACTGCTGCAGTTAAATATTTTACCCTTTGTTCTCCCTGCGTGATCTACAATAATAATCTGCTTCTTGTTGATATTTACTGCTGTGTTCCTGACAGTTACCTGAGAGAGAAGTTGGGGTGCTTCACTGGACCAGAAAAAGTTTAGCTAAATCAGAAAGCAGGTCTAATTAAGCAAGTTTATTATATAAAAGGCTAAGTTGACTCGCACATGCACGATACATAAAAAGCTCTTGATGGTGCTCTCCTGGGGGACAGTTGAGCACTGAAGTCCTACTCAGAGGATATTGCTCCTCCTGCCCCCTTTTTTTTTAAGCCAATTTTATCTCTGTGCTGGTAGTAATGAAGTTTCTAGAATATGGCTTTTTCCCCCTTTTTATTGAATTTATTGGGGTGACACTGGCTATCAAAATTATACAGGTTTCAGGTGCACAATTCCACAACACATCATCTGTACTATATTGTATGTTCACCACCCCAAGTCAAGTCTCTGTCCACCACCATTTATCCCCTGATACCTTCCTCCAGCCTCCCCCACTCAACCCCTCCCCCAGTAATCAACACACTGTTGTGTCCATGAGTTTTTTTCTTTCTTTTTTGTTCAATCCCTCTACCCCCTCCTCAGCCCCTCACCCCCCAGCTGTCAGCCTGCTCTCTATCTATGAATCTGTCTCCTTTTTGCTTGTTAGTTCATTTTGTTCATTAGATTCCACATATGAGAGGAATCGGATGGTACATGTCTTTCTAGAACATGGCTTTTTAAAGCAGCAATCCTAGTAAAACGGGTTTAGATTTAGAAGTGCATTCTTATTAAGAGAAGAGGACTTGGCTTCCTGTGTCTTAGTAGAGTGAGATCTGGAAACCAAACCTGTTAACACCATGCTAACCTCACCTCCTCCACAATATTCAGTGGAGGATACATCTGCCTTACACAGTGATAAAGGAGGGCCTCTGGACCTGCCAGTGGGATGGGAGCTCTTCATTCCTGCATATTTACAGACCTATACATTTATTTGTAAATTTATTTTGATAGTCCCTTTATTTACATGATTGTTTTGTACTACATTAATGGGCATGGAACTGTTATTCACTGACCTTACCTTTTAAAGAATGTAATAATCCACTTAGCTTCTAGGAGCAGAGAATGACTAGGGAATGATCCACATTTCAAGCTTTAATGCCTTATTTCTGTGAATATAAAAGATGCATACCAGCTAAATTTGATACGGTTTAGACCAGTCTGGGTCAGACTTTATATGGTTTGTGGATGGATCCCTTGACTCAAATTCTGAAGTTCTTACTAAAATATATATCTCTGGGTAAATGTTTGTCATTGGTTTACAGGTATAGCAACTGATAGTGGTTCTGCCCCAAACTCACCTTCCCTATTATTTAGTGTAGAAAGTACTGTCCTGTGTGTAATAACTGAGAAAATTGTTATATTCTAGAATTGTGGCTTCTAGTCATAGTTTGAAAATGAAGCATAAGCATTTCTAATTTCAGATCAACAGCAAAAAGAAAGAATCAGCATGGGAAATGACAAAAAGCTTGTACGATGCGTGGTCAGGATGGCTAGTGGTAACACTGACAGGATTGGCATCCGGTAAGGAAACTTTTAATGCCGTCCTTTTCTGGTTAACAGAACAATAAGTAGGTCTCTCTCCTTTCCACAATTTTTTTTCAGGTATTGTTGGGTTTTTAAAATCATTTTTATTTTGTTTCTTTCCTCCAAAACTCTTCTTAAACACAAGACTAGAAGGCAGGAGGCTTCTGCATCTCATTTTGGCTCTATCCAATTTTTTAAATCTTTCTGGGCTCAGTTTCTGTGTCTGTAAAGTACATGGTTTGGACCAGATGATCAATAAAATATCTTTTAAAGTTAACTTCATAATAAGTAAGTAATATTTATTGAGTGCTTCCTATGTGTAATACACTGCTCTAAAAGCTTTATGTATATGTAAGCCTCATACAATTCTATGGTATATGTCAGTGATTTTCAACCTTTTTCATATCATGGCACACATAAACTAATTACTAAAATTCTGTGGCACACCAAAAATGTATTTTTTGCTGGTCTGACAAAAATAGGTATCATTTTATTGTTGTTGTTGATCCTCAACCGAGGATATTTTACATTGCTTTTTCAGAGAGGGGTGGAGGGAGGTAGGGAGGGAGGGAGGAAGGAAGGGGAGGGAGTGGAGGGGGAGGTAGAGAGAGAGAAACACCGCTGTGGGAGAGACACATCAACTGGGGTGGGGAGCGAACCCACAACTCAGGTACATGCCTCTGACTGGAAATCAAACCTGGTGCACTCTGGTGCACAGGCCGATGCTCTAACCACTGAACATGCCAGCCAGGGCAAAAATAGGTATTCTTTAGATTCATTCACACCATACAGCTATTGTGCTGGCAGTTGTCATTTTTTTATTTGATAGTGTAAGGGAAAAGAGGTCAGTGCCCCTGACTAAATAGTCAGGTATTGCATGTTTTAAAAATTCTTGCAGCTCACCGGTTGAAAATCTCTGGTATATATGTTATTATTATCACCATTTTACAGACGAGGGGACTGAAGCACAGACAGAGGTTAATAAATGGCCAAAGATTTAAATTTAGGCAGTTTAGTTCAAAAGCCTACACTTTTAACCACCATGCTAGAGTAACCACAAAGCCTGTGTGTGTGAGATTTTTAAGAATAGCATTGAAGATCTGAAAACAAACAATAAGGACTGTTTTAATGACTTTCAGCTTCCACTGTGGAAGATTATGTCCAGAAGAGCATGAGAAAAAATTAAAATTTGTGTGGGGAATAGAGGGAACTACTGATAACTCTAAATGACATGCACAAGAATTATGTGACTCATTGATCTTTTTATATGGTGAAAGGACCTAGATTTTGGCCATAAATTTGTGTATTTTTTTATATCCTCTCAGTAAATGATCTTGATATATTTGATCTTTTGATATTTAAGAAAAAAATGAAAATCTATCACAGTAATTAATTAATGCTAGGAGTTTCTCTAATTATTTCTAATGGACATTAAATTAATTCTGTTAAGTTTTGGATTGAAACATACTAGTAAAAACTCTGAATTCAGTAACCAGGTTTGTGAACCTCTGCCAGGTAGCTGTCTTTTGAATATGTTTTAGTATCTTTTAAACACCTTTTTAAAAAATCACAATTAATTTGAATGATGTAACTAGTTTTAATTTCAAACAAAAAATGGCAGTTTTAAAGAATAGGAATTTACAGTTTTTAAAAAGTAGTATAAACTTATGATAATGAAAATTTAAAAATCTTAAATTCACATTATATTACCTATATGACCCTTTATTTGTAGGGAGTCCCTGTTTTCCTTGGCTTTTTTAACTTGATAGTTCTTAACTCCCAAAAATAAACTTAATTTTTTACCACCTCTGACTTGTTTTTATAGGGGCATTGGCTGGATTAATAGACATTGCTGCTGATTGGATGACTGACCTCAAGGAAGGCATTTGCTTTAATGCTTTGTGGTACAACCATGAACAGTGTTGTTGGGGATCTAGTGAAACAACATTTGAGGAGAGGGATAAATGTCCACAGTGGAAAACATGGGCAGAGTTAATTATAGGTCAAGCAGAGGTAAGTCTTCTTTGTCTCAAGATGAATTAAAAATTGCTGTAGAGAAATGAACCTCCAAAATCATTTAATTATAGAGTTAATCACAGATGATTGCAACCTGCATTAAAGGGGAAAAAAGAAAGAAATGTAATAGGATAGAATGAAAAATATGAGACTACTTTGCAGCAAGTAAAATATAAGTATTGTTTCAAGAAACTCTTGTATTAATTATACAGTCATATACGAGTCTACTGGGCTATGATGTGAAATGTATTTCTTATTGTAGAAAAGAAGTGCAGTAGGATCTGTGTAACAACCACAAACAGTTGTCATGAAGTCAGGTTACTAAAGCTGCTTAACATATTACTTCACAATTATTTGGGAAGTATGAATTATCAAAAAATTTAGTAAAATAAGGCCTAACTGGAGATATCTTGGAGAAATCCATAGATTTTTCTTCATGGCATTACAGTATTGAAGTGATTATTATCCTGTTCTTGATGTTCTATAATGAACATTTTAGGAGTTAGAATATTATCTATATATATAAAAAGCCAGTGTTCATGATGACCAGGATGACCAAACAACTGGTCACCATGTGGTGCGTTGAGCACCTCTCGGTCCCTCCCCCCTGGCCTGCGAGCAGAGCAGGGTGGGACTGGGGACTGGCGAGTAGGCTGAACGGCTGACCTCTTGGTCCCTGCCCCCAGCTCCAGGTCCCGATGGATCAGTGATGGTGAATGGGGGGGTGGGATCGGGGTGGGTGGTGGGAGGACCGGGCTGGCTGTCAGGGCGTTGGGATCAACAGCTCATCCCTGGCTGCTCAGGGGCTCACGCCTGCGGGAAAGCAGGCGCTGGTGACTTCACCTCCATGCGTGTGCGCCCGGCTGGCCACTGATGGAACGCGCTGCCTGCTTGGGGCCGCTCATGCCGGGGCAGCAAGGTCATGGGCGCACCCTGCAGCTTCCATCAGTGCCTCAAGCCCCAGCAGCGGTGGCGGTGGTGGTGGTGGTGGCGCCGCGTGAGCGGCCCCGAACAGGCAGCGTGTTTCATCAGCCGCCGGCCTGGCGCACGCGCATGGAGGTGTAGTCGCCTGCACCTGCTTTCCCACAAGCCTGAGTCCCCGAGCAGCCGGGGATGAGCTGGTGATCCCAACAGCCTGACAGCCCTGCAACAGAGGCAGCATTTGGCCTGGGGACTGCCGAATGGGCAAAAGATGGAGGCTAGGCCTAGGGACCCTACCTGCACGATTTCGTGCGCTGGGCCTCTAGTATAATATATATTGTTATAGAATCATATATGGATATGTTTTTAAAAATTGGTTATAGCTGAATTTTAGAGATTAAAGTATAGTTGAGGCTCTGCACAATAAGACTAAGTCTCCTTGGGATGGATACAAATATGTTTTTGGATTCTACTTAAATGTTTGTTCATGTAAAGCTTTTATTATTGTGGAAGTAAAACCGGGAGCCTTTACAAGTTTTACCCATTTCTTATGAGGCAAGCACTTGCATTAGTGGTGCACTATAAATTAAATTCATACTACTGAACTGTTTGCTTTATAGGGTCCTGGTTCTTACATCATGAACTACATAATGTACATCTTCTGGGCCTTGAGTTTTGCCTTTCTTGCTGTTTCTTTGGTAAAGGTATTTGCTCCATATGCCTGTGGCTCTGGAATTCCAGAGGTAAGCCATACAGTATTTAGTATCATTAAACATTTAGTAATTGTTATGATGCTTATCTTTTTTGCTTCTAGGGAAAGTAGTTGTTTTGTTTTTTTTTGGCGGGGGGGGGGGGCAGAATGGTTTGTTTGTAATATAAAAAAAGAAAAGTTTAGCTGGTTTAGCTCAGTGGGTAGAGCGTCAGCCTGCAAACTGAAGGGTCCCAGGTTCGATTCCAGTCAAGGGCACATGCCCAGGTTGCTGGCTCCATCTCCAATGGGGTCTGCAGGAGGCAGCCGATCAGTGATTATCTCTCATCATTGATGTTTCTATCTCTCTCTCCCTCTCCCTTCCTCTCTGAAATCAATAAAAATATATTTAAAAAACAAAAAAGAAAAGTTTAAAAAATGTAAGCTTATTGTAGACATTGAAAGAAATTCTGCCCTATAGTCATTTCACCATTTACCTTGGAGGTTGATTTTTTTTTTTTCTTAACACTAATTTATCACATGGCTAAACAAATAGCATAAGACTTACTTAGACCCCAAGAACCTGAAGAATTACCTTGTAGCCTGAAGTTATTTGATAAATTGATGTTTTGATTTAAATACATTCTTTCTCTCTCTTTTTCTATATAAATATATTTTAATTAAATAAGTTAATTCTTGAATTTGGCAGATAATATAACCATTTTATACTTTAAAATAAACATTGGGTCATAGTGAGTCAATAGCACAAACTTGTGTTTTATTGTTTATCAACAGTAAAGGAGGCTATAGTTAGGATTGAACATCATATCAACTCATTTCTTTCCCCCACTTTGTATTTTTCTGTGTTAAATAATTTACCACTTTTTCTAGTGCATTTCTTTTAAAAGCTAAATTGTAGTGATTTTCAAAGTCTATTAAGAATATCTTAAATAAGGAGCAATATCATACAGTTTTTAACAGTTGTCACTTAACGTGTAGATAAATATTACATATAATTTACATACTGAGAAGACATAATATCTTTATTTCTGACACAAAATGTCTGAAATATATCTATTACATTTCTACAACAAATATTTAAATTTGTCTTTTTCTGGTTTGTAATTATATATCTTGTATTAAGGTCTGTATTCCCTTGAACGTGGCCTGATATTTTAGTTTTGTTCGTGAGATAGGTTTGCCTTCTATCCTTGCTTGGGGCAGTGTTAGAATATGATATAAATTTATTATATGTAGCGTATTAGTTAAAGCTTTTGAAAAATTAATTGTAAATTGTTCATAGTCCACCAAAATTTATGAGGTGGTATTCTGAGTAAAACAAGAGAGTAACTTAAGTTAGTTAAGTTCTCATGGTTTGGTTTTTTTTGGATATCAATCTGTCTTAATCTTTCCTTTGTAGATTAAAACTATTTTGAGTGGATTCATCATCAGAGGTTACTTGGGAAAATGGACTTTAATGATTAAAACCATCACATTAGTACTGGCTGTGGCATCAGGATTGAGTTTAGGAAAAGAAGGTCCCCTGGTACATGTTGCCTGTTGTTGTGGAAATATTTTTTCTTACCTCTTTCCAAAGTATAGCACAAACGAAGCTAAAAAAAGGGAGGTAAGTGTCTTTTCTAGTTTATTTGATGTATAAATATCTGTCATATACACTTAATTCAGTTGAAGAATTTTCTAGTGTAATAATCACATTTACTCTTTACTTTTTGGATACATTTTGTGTTCAGATTAAAATTACAATGGGAAAATTGTTTGCTTCCTTCTCTTTTTGTGAATAATCGCTAATTGCTTTGCCTTATACCTCCTCTCCTCTGAAGTGTTTCTCAAATGTAGTATTATTTTACTCTTCTCTCTCACCATCAGTATTTCTCCAGGGTTGGAAATCTTAACAGCTGTGTTTTCCTCTGGGAGGAGTGTCTGATGCCAGTGGGTGTGTGTGTCATCTGCGGAGAGCTGTCTGGCCCCAGGGGCAGTTCTGAGGGCCTCTAGACTGCCTGAGGTTTAAATCAGAGATTTACATTAAAGGAGATGTAGGAACTCCTCTTTATTCAGCTGTTCAGGGAAGTTTCTTTTACCATGTTTTAAAAGGCCAGCCTGAGATAGTCTAGGTCCGGAGGTCTTTAAACTTTACATCTTACAGAGTTTCCCTGATGTTTCTAAATTGCTCTGGATGTCTTCTATAAGGAAAGTAGGCTCCTGGGATATTCTGTATTAGCTCTAAACTTGGGAGGCCCAATCCCATCCAGTTTTCCCAGTCTCATCTGCAGTCCTAGATGGTGCAGAGCCCTTTGGGTTTTTAAGGTACAGTATTTTATATCTCATTAAATATTGAGAATTCAGGGGTTTCTGGCCCTAGCATAGGAAGAGCTTTCAGCCTGTTGTTTTTTATACTACAATGAAAAAAGTAGAATATTTTTATCAAACTATTTAATTCCTCAATTGATATAATTCCAGTTCATTTTAATGTTAGCACTGAAACGTCCTTGCATTGGCAGTAGTCTAAAAGTGGAACATTTCAGAGCATCATTGCTCTATCTCTGGATGATAATTGTGATTTCAGTACTATCCTGTATATAACAGCAATTTTCTGCCTTTTTCATCTCATGGCACACATAAACTAATTATTAAAATTCTGCAGCACACCAAAAAAATATATATTTTTTGCCAATCTGACAAAAAATAGGTATAATTTTGATTCATTCACACCGGAAGGCTATTGTATTGGCTGTTGTCATTTTTTTTCATTTGACAAAAGGGAAAAGAGGCCAGTATCCCTGACTAAATAGTTAGGTGTTGCTTGTTTTAAAAATTCTCATGGCACACTGGTTGAAAATCGCTGTTATGTAATTAGGATAACTAACATTATTATTGATTACTTACTATGTATCTGGTTCTATGTCATATTCTTTACTTGCATCTTAAAATTTAATCCCATGATAATCCTATTAACATGGCATTATTATTCTCATTTATAGATAGGTAACTAAACTAAATCTTGGCTAATTTGCCCAAGATTACGTGTCAGAGTGTAGATTAAAATTTATTTTTCTTCCATTCTAAAGTCTATACTCTTAACTATCCTAATACTACTACTACTACTATGACTGTGTGGACATGTGTTTATGTCTTCTCAAAGCAAAACCTAAACTCTACTATAGCAGGGCAAGTTAATGGTTAAATGGAACTATAGCATTTGTCTCCCCAGTTCAATTCCTTTACTTGCTATTGTACCATGACAATTTGGGGGTAAGATTTGTATTTTTATTTATTCATTATAAGTGAAAAATGTAATTTATTAGAAAATGTTATAGAAATTTAATTCATCTGAATTTTAATATACACACTGTGATGCTTAGTAATGTTTATGACAGTTTTATTCTGTCACCTTAGTATATAAATGTCTAGAGTTTACTTGTTAGGGTACTTGTTAGTGAAAGCATTAAAGCCTCATATTTTGTCTTTCTTCCTATACCCACTTCTTTGACACTTTTTAATTAAATGATTCTAAAATACTTACTAAAGATATTAAAATGTGTGTTATAGGTGTATGGGTATTAGTTTGATTATAAAATTCTATTTTATTAAATGTGGAATTAGAAAATTCAGTTAAATATGTTGTCTGCAGTTCCATTAATGGGAAAAACAAAACAGAAAGTAAGTTAAATTTTCTCACACTTCTTCCCTAAATAAGCAAAGTCTGTATTCTTAAAGCCAGATACGATTTAATTAAAACACATACTTGTTTATTTTTAATTTACCAAACAGTAACCTGACTATGTAGTTTGTACTCTTAATCATTTACAATTTAATTTTGATGATTTCTAATTTCTTTTTCAGAAATGTAAAACTTGACCGTTTGAGGAAATGCTTTGGTAGCCTCAAATATTTACTGAAGTAGTGAAAAGAATAAAGACTCTTAGAAAAGCAATTAGAAATAGATGCCCAGTGTGTAGTTGGCTTCACACTGGTGGGACTTGGGCAGTGTCCAAGTGACAGACCAGAAGTTGCAGAGAAGATCCACCAGAGAAGTTATTATGTGATTCTGGCTGGTGAGGCTGTATCCTAAGGGGCAGCCATTGTTTGTGCTGAAGGCTCTCCATACTGGTAGTGGCAGTATTTTCAGAGGACTTAGGGTAGTGAAAACATAGGGAAACTCAGTAGTTTTTAAGTTCCCTGGATATTTTACTAGGATTTGGACTAAGGCAATTATTAATGACTAGTAGCCCGGTGCACGGATTCGTGTATATTGAAAGGAAAGTAATTAGAAGAAAGATTTGTGCAGTAATTATATTACTGCAAAAAATTGCATGTCAAAATAGCATATATAATATAGTATTATAAAATTAAAACGCTGCAATTGGCGCCAGCGAGAGCTTTATATGTATCGCACATGCACGAGTCAATGTTTATTTTTAAATTGCCAGTGCGCCTCATATGTACCTGCCGGTTGTTTGGTTGGACAGTCGGACGGATGTACAGTTGGACACGTAGCCTTTTATATATGTAGATGACGCAGTTAGCTCTAAAATATGAAGAAATTATATCCTATTTAAAAATAAGTAAACAGCCCTAGCCAGTTTGGTTCAGTGGATAGAGCGTCGGCCTGTGAATTGAAGGGTCCCGACTTCGATTCCGGTTAAAAAAAAGAACATATATTAAAGTTATATATAATTACCATTAAAGTATATTTTAGCATACTTTTCAGTTTTATATCTAGTGTAGAAGGTACCTCAGTTGCAGGCTCCTCCCCAGCCTGGGCCCTGGTCTGTTGGGGCATGTGCAGGAGGCAACCAATCAATGTGTTTCTCTCACATCAATATTTCTCTGTCTTTTCCTCTCTCTTCCACTTTCTCTAAAAATTAATGGAAAAATATCCTTGGGTGAGGATTAAAAAATAAATAAAAATACGTAAACTCTCCCTTCAAACTCTCTCCACTGGTCTTCGCAAACAGACATCTTGAAAGTTGGCTGTATTTATTGCCTCTTTTTTATATCCCATTTATATTAGCATATCTCGCATAAGGTTTGTTTTATTTTACTGAATATTGAATATATGATTGACCTTTCAAAGCAGAAGATAAAAAAATCTTTTTAGAGGAAATACATATTTGCATTTGCTTGGGGAGGAGGGAGACATATGAGTTAAATTCAGAAGTCATTTCGAAAATTCGAGTAATGTGAAGAATTTTTATTTGGCATATGTTTGAACTATAAAAACACGAAATAAACCACATCCTTTTTTTTTTTTTAGGTGCTCTCAGCTGCCTCAGCTGCAGGTGTTTCTGTGGCCTTTGGTGCACCGATCGGAGGAGTTCTTTTTAGCCTGGAAGAGGTAGGTTAAAAAAAAGAACATATATTAAAGTTATATATAATTACCGTTAAAATATATTTTAGCATACTTTTCAGTTTTATATCTAGTGTAGTAGGTATAGACTTTGTTTTTAAGTTTTCAAATTTATTTTCATAAACTTATTTTTCACTCATACATAAAAGGTAATATACTATATATGTTCTTTACCTTGAGAAAATTTTTAAAAATATATTATTTAAAAACATTAGTTATTGTTTAAAATTTAACTTTGCTGACATATTAAAGTAAGCAGATATGAATTTGATTTAATAAAGAAATATTTAAAACGATCTATCTCTATTAGCTTAAATACAGCCTTTATATTTAAATTTTTAAATTAATTCCTAAATCATCTTTGTAAGTTTTTCTTCTGTGATTATTTATATTGCAGTTATTGATGTTTGAGGAGATCATTTTAGTTGCTTTAGTAGAATATTTTATTTTTGTTTTCTCTTTGGTGCTTAAGACTTTTTACACATTTACACAGAAATATGACTAGGAATATTTTAAAATGTACTTTTCTAGTTATTTCTATTTTTTCCTCTTTTTAAAATTTAATATAGAAGAGGTAAATCAAATACTTCTGTATGAGCTAACAGGAGCTGGTGGCAGTACATTTATTGTTAACTACTATGATTGGAAGTTAAATTCATTTTGAAAATAAGAAATCCTAGGTATTTTAAATAATTATTAGACATTTATGACTTGTTGATATTGTGAATGTATAATGAGGTGATAGTTAAAGTTAATAAAACATCAATATTTTTCTTATCATAGTGAAATCCATTCTATGTAAATTCCAGTGGCAGCAAAATTTAGAGCTATGATATTTACTGTTCAAGTTATATCAGAAACATTTTATAAAATTATATCATTAATTTTTCTTTTTCTTTTTTTTTTTAGGTTAGCTATTATTTTCCTCTTAAAACTTTATGGAGATCATTTTTTGCTGCTTTAGTTGCTGCATTTGTTTTGAGATCCATTAATCCATTTGGTAATAGCCGTCTGGTCCTTTTTTATGTGGAGTATCATACACCATGGTACCTTTTTGAACTGTTTCCTTTTATTCTCCTCGGGGTATTTGGAGGGCTTTGGGGAGCCTTTTTCATTAGGGCAAATATAGCTTGGTGTCGTCGACGCAAATCCACCAAATTTGGAAAGTATCCTGTCCTTGAAGTCATTATTGTTGCAGCCATCACTGCTGTGATAGCTTTCCCTAATCCATATACTAGGCTCAACACCAGTGAACTGATTAGAGAGCTTTTTACAGACTGTGGGCCCCTGGAATCCTCTTCTCTTTGTGACTACAGAAATGACATGAATGCCAGCAAAATTGTTGATGATATTCCTGATCGTCCAGCAGGCGTCGGAGTATATTCAGCTATATGGCAGTTATGCTTAGCACTCATATTTAAAATCATAATGACAGTATTCACTTTTGGTATCAAGGTAAGTGCCAATGTGGGGTGATGTTTAACTAATCTTGGCATGATCAAAACTTGTATGTGGAATGAGAGATGAAATTTTTCTGTAAAGGTGGTTGTTTCATAACTGTGGCCTGAAAAAGTTCTTATTTTTTTGGGTTCAATTTTAAGAAATGAAAAAAAGAAAAAAGAAATCCTTAGGATATATTGTTGAGCCATGGTATCTGTTAATTTGTAACAAATTACCCCCAAATCTAGCAGCGTATGATGACTTATTTTGCTTTTGATAATGATCTGATTTGGTTAAGGACTCAGCTGGCATGTTTTGGTCTCTCATACAGTTGTCATGAGTCATGGCTAAGGCTGCTCATCTCATAGACATTCATTTGTCTGGCACCTGGTCTGAGAAGATTCAGACAGCTAGAGCTGGAACATCTGGCCTTTTCTAATATCTCTCCCTCTGTGGTTTTTCTGGCATGGTGGCCTCAGGGTGGTTAGATTTCCTACATGGTAGCTCAGGTTTCCAAAAGCAAGTGTCCCAAGAGGACCATTTCTAACCTAGCCAAAGAAGTCATACAGCATGCCTTCTATTGTGTACTGTTTGTCTAGACAACCACAAAGGCCCACCGAGGCTCAGGGGGAGGGATATATGTTCTACCATTTAGTGGGAGGAGTGTTAGAAAATTCATGATATTTCTAAACCATTTATTAGTTTACTATTGCTGCAGTAATAAATTAGCATAAATTTAGTGGCTTAAAATCACCCAAATTTATTACATTTCTGGAGATTAGAAATCAAAAATAGGCCTTACTGGGCTAACATTAAGGTATTGACAGGGATTCTGCCCCCCCCCACCCCCCCAGCCTTCTAGAGGTTGCCCACATGCCTTGGCTCATGGCCCCCTTCTTCCATCTTCATAGCCAGCAATAGATGGTCAAGTCTTTCTTTACTTCATCATTCTGAAACTCACTCTTCTAAATCCTTCTTCCACATTTAAAACACCTTTATTATTACTTTGGGCCCAGCCAGATAATCCAGGATAATCTCCAGTTTGAAGGTCAGCTGATTAACAACCTTTATTCTGTCTGCAACCTTAATTTCTCCTTACTGCATAACATAATGAATTCACAAGAATCAGGATATCCATATCTTTAGGAAGCCACTTTTCTACCTTACCATATCCCTGTAGGGGTTACCTTGAAAGGACACTGCTGAAGCAAGAGTTAAATTACTAAGCCCAAAGCCTTTTTTAAAAATATATATATTTTTTATTGATTTTTTACAGAGAGGAAGGGAGAGGGATAGAGAATTAGAAACATCAGTGAGAGAGAAACATTGATCAGCTGCCTTCTGCACACCCCCTTCTGGGGATGTGACCTTGACAGGAATCAAACCTGGGACCCTTCAGTTCGCAGGCCAGCGCTCTGTCCACTGAGCCAAATCGGTTAGGGCGCCCAAAGCCTTTTTCCATCAAGGACTTGGTCCTTATGCCCTGGGACATTGTTTTTTTCTAACTTATGAAAGTGAGAATAACATTTGATAGTGATTTGCCAGTAAATATAATTCTATTATGTGACTGTCAGTGATGTATATCAGATGTCAGCTAATCCTTATTCT